GCCTTTTCTCTGATTCCCAATTTCCATTTTCCACGCCAGAGCAATCACTGTTCCCAATTTCTTCTATATCCTTCCAGTGATTATATATATATATGTGAAATTTTTATACAGATTGTAGCATACTATTCAAAGCTTTATGCATGTTGCTTTTTAAACTTAATAATATATGTTGAACATCTGTACACGTCAGTACACATAGAATCTTATTTATTTAGCAGCCACATAGGATTCCAATATGTGATTGTGCCATACTTTATGCTGAGCATTTTCTAATTAACCAGCATCTTACTGATAGACATTGAGCGTGTGTCCAAAATTTTGCTACTACAAATTCTTCTGCATGAATATCTTTGTGTGTAGACGTGCATGTTTGTGCAAAAATGTGCATTTATCAAGTGTGTAAATTTGAACAAGTGCAATTACTGCACGGGAGATGTGTACATTGAGAATTTTGGAAGATATTAACAAATCAGCCGAGGAGCTTTGCTCTTGACGCCTCACGTGTCTCTTCGGCAGTCACTCGGGGCTTCCTACAGCAAGAGCTGGCCCGTTCGCCTGTTCACTCACAGGGCAGGCCAGAACGCATGGGGAGTGGACACATCCAAGAGCAGTCCTCAGTCCATGACAAATAGGAGCTGATGTTAAAATATCCCACTTTCTTCATCCTTCAGCAGGAGACAATTCTGTCCAACGGAGAGGAATTCCACAACAGTGGAACTGAGCCTCATCTGTCCCCAAGCGCAACCGTCTCATTAACATACACTTTTATTGGCTTCTTTCCCTTTCTTCTCTCATTTCCCAACTCCCTTACCGGTGTCTCATGGGATCACCTCCCAAATAAACTACTTATCCTCACATCTCTGTCTCAGGGTTGACTTAGGAGGAAGCTCAAGGAAAAAAGGTAACCCTCCCTCACAGTTGTAATTATTTGTACTTCCATCAACAGTGTCTGTTCTCCATCCTCAACTCACTATCAGTTTTATTGTCTATTTATTCATTTGTTAATTCATTCAGTAGAGCATTTTCTATGTGTTGTTGAGCATTTTCTAAGTGTCAAGTCCCTTGCTGGCCCCTGGACACAATGCCAAGCACTGGAGATCAGACAAGTTACCTCCATTACCTGTAATCCTCCTCCTTTAAGTTTAGACCTACACTTTGAAGAAAGCTAAGTCCACACTTGGAACAAAGCCGTTAAAATGCATAACCTTGACTAAAGCATCACATGAATGCAATATTCCAATAATATAATCAGCAGCAGCTACACTGGTTATCAAATCCTTCTCGGGTTTGCTAAGGGGTGGGGTTGAAGAGATCAGAGATGTCCAATCTTTGAAGTAGGTCAGGGGCACCCGGGGCAGAAGATATTCTTCAGAGATTTGACATGTTGATCTAGACTAAGGTCTGGTCCAGGACAAAAAGAAACTGTACTCAGCAATATTGTCATAAGGCTACAAATGGTCTGCTTTCATGATTTATGGACATGTTTTTGTTTTTCATTCTGCCTGTTTTCATAGTAAAGAGCTTTATTCCCAGAGCACTAATTAATGGAGGTATTATTGTTTTTAAAAGAACAAGAAGGAAATTCACTCCTATCCTGGATACATTCCACAGTCTGCCTTCTCTGCTCCTCAAACAGGACTGCCAAGCTTTGCTGGGAAGAAGTCCCTCCATGCTATGATCATGGACTCCAACCACAGCTGGGCCCTTGATGCTTTGCATAAAATTTGTAATTGTCCATTGTCAACCTTCTCCCATTCTTCTCGGGGGCTGTTTTAAACTTCCTTTCTCTTTAATGGCTTTATTCTTTTACCTTTTCTCTTGCTCTAAGCTCATGAACCTCTTTTCTACTTTAGAGACAAAACCCAGCAATCCAAACACAGGCTTCTCCTTCCACAAACCTCTCTACATCTACCTTCATTCCTGCAGGTGGTTGCTGGCCTCTCCACCCAAGGACCTCACCTATTTCCTCTGGTCCCTCCAACTCATTATTCTAGGGCTGACCTTCTGCATCTTCAGCTTCTCAAGGCTTCACTACAGCCCTTTGTCTTCAGCCAATAAACATACCCAAATCTCTCCCCTCTTTAAATAGAAAGGCTTTTCTTGTCACTCTTTCTAGCTGCCTCCCTCTGTCATTTCTTTTGATAATTTAGCTCCTTGAAAGGATCATCTATCTATTCACACTGCCTCCAATTCTTCTCCCATCATTACTAATTCCCTGCATCTTTGTCTACCCACCACAACACAAATACTGTTTCTCTTTCCCACATTTTCAAATTCAAAAAACCTTTTTTAAATCTCATCTTATTAAAGAATATCTATAGTGGTGGTTCTCAAAGGTGTTTCTTAAACTAGCAAAAGAAAGAGAAAAGAAAGAGTGGAAGGAAGGAAGGAAGGAAGGAAGGAAGGAAGGAAGGAAGGAAGGAAGGAAGGGAGGGAGGGAGGGAGGGAGGGAGGGAGGGAGGGAGGGAAGGAGGGTCATCACCTAGGAACATGTCAGAGACTTAACTTCTTGGGCCCCACATGACTTCTTCCTGAAGTAGAAACACTGGAATGGGTTCAGCAATCTGTGCCTCCGCGAGCCCTCCAGGTGATGCTGACGACACTCTGAGTGTGATTTTAATACTCTTAACCTCTCTTCTTCCTTTTTGAAATTCTTTATTTGTTTTCTATGAACTAGATATTGCTGTTTCTTCTTTTACATTTTATGCTGTTGGGTTTTTTTTAGTCTCCATCTTTCATTCATCCCTAAATATGGTTATTCCCGGTGCTCTGCTCTCGTTCTATCTCTTCCATGTAATGTCATCTATTTACAATACCTCGGTTGCAACCTGTATCACAACTACTGGTTATAAATGGTAGAAAATACAGTTCAACTTAAGCACCATTGAGCAAAGTTAAACAAAAGATGGAATTTATTGGCTCACGTAACATGTTTGTCTTGATCCAGGATCTTAATGCCATTAGATTTGGCCTCATTCCCTTTCTCCCTTAGCTCAGTTTCCATCTGAATTGGTTTTATTTCTAGTCTTGATTCTGCTATGTGACCCCTTGAAGCTCCAAAAGTACATGCTCACAATTCTAGGACAACTTTGGTTTATGTGCCCAACCTAACCCAATCTTTTCTGCCAACAAAGTAGAATGTGATGAATTTCTTAAACCTGAGTCACATCACCATCACTGGAAGTAGAAATGAGGTCAACCTTAACCAAGTTGACATTCATTGATTTAACATACATTGAGCACCTACTATGTGCCATGTCCTAGTCTTCATTCTGGGAATGCAACAGTGAACAACAAACTCCAAGTCACTAGGCTCAGAGCTCATATTCCAGAGGGAGATTTAGGCTATAAACAAATAAAACAAACAGAAAAAAATAACCACATAAATATAAGCATAGGAAGATAAAGGGATGAAGAGCTATGAGGCTGCTGAGGAGGAGCAGGAATAACTTCCCAGGGAATATCAGGATATTGTTAACAGAAAAATTAATGAATTCTAGGTGGGTAAAAACAACAGATACAATTCTTAGGTCTGCTCCTTTAGCAACTGCTAAATAGGGAAATTGAAATGTCCCAAATTGAAATGAGCATATTCCCTATTTTTAACTTTCTACTCAATTTTCTTTGGATTGATTTTTTTCTTTTAAATATTTTCTTAAACTAATAGGAGTATCTTCTCTCCATCCCCTCATATTAGAGATAACAAATAACAAGGTTTAGTAGAATGAAAGTCACAAAAAATAGAAATGGTGAGAGACTACAAAGACTATTTTTGAGATGTCTGAGTTAGAAAGGTGATGAAGGCTATCAGGGTGAAAAAAGGGACATTCCTAAGAAATCCTGTCCAAATCTTCTAATGAAGTACTTTGGGTAATATCTCAAATTTATAATTACTTGTTTATTGTCTCTAGCTTCCACCTGATGGTTTATGATATGAGCAAAGCTGCTTATCCAATTGCCTGTCTGATTTCACTCACCAATTCATGCCAATTCTGCTTCCCAAATGTTTCTGGAAACTATTCTCTGACTTACCTTCCTGAGACTACTTCTTTAGTCCATGACCCATCATCATCTCTTTTCTGAATCTCTCATCTAAATTCTACCCAGTCTTCTTGCTTGTCTTGTCTCCTCCCCCAATTTTCTACATATTATTTCTGGAAAGGTCTTGGATTTCCAGGCAGTGTTGAAGACTGACTTGATGTTTGTGGTCAAAAATCTAGTGTGAGGCTGTTCAGCCTGGTTTCCTATCTTGTCCAGCCGCACCCAGCTGCTCAGGTGCATGGAGAGGACAGAGATTCAGAGTTGTGGTTTTCCTAACAAGTATGATGGGAAGAGGGGTGGACACGATATGTATAAACAAGGGGATGGATTAAAGTGATGGGTCATGGAATCTAAGTTGGGTAAAGAGGGGAGCTTGGGCATAAGAGGATATGGTAGAGAAATATTGTAGAATTAAAAGACTGGATATCTCAACAGGGGCAAAGAATGGCTAGAGGAAGAGAACTAAAGTAAGTGAGCTGGACAGAGAGAAGATGGTATGCTGGGTGTGGGACAATTGAAATGAGATTTTGGAGGTAGTTCTTCATCTTTTTTCCCTGAGAACATGTTTGTATACATATTATGATACTAGTGAAAAGTGAATTGAATATGATTTGTAGCAGAAGCACACTTCAGTATTGGATTTTGATGTGATAGGATCTAATGACCTAAGTAAGGGTTAAAAGCCACAGATGCCCAGCCCTGGCTGGTTTGGCTCAGGGGTTAGAGCGTTGGCCTGCGGCCCTGAGAGACCCGGGTTCGGTTCCCGCTAAGGGCATGTACCTCGGTTGCAGTTTGTCCCCGGCCCTGTTCGGTTGTGCGGGTGGCAGCCACTCGATGTGTCCCTTTCACATCGATGTTTCTCTCTCTCTCTCTGTTCCTCTCTCCCCCTCCCACTCTACCTGAACAAAAAATAGAAAAATGTCCTCAGGTGAGGATAAAAAAAAAAAAAAAGCCACAGATGCCCAAACAGGGATTTAAACCCTCGACCTTCAGATTAAAAGTCTGATAGTCTACCAACTGAGCTAACTGGGCTGGAGATAATTTATTTAACAATGTCTAGAATGTAAGTATGGGAGGTGGTAGCTGAGGTAGAGTGGAGGAACAGATGATTGAATGAGAGCAAATCAAGGAGTTCAGAGGCTAGGTTGTCAGATGGACTGTCCATGTGGATGTTGAAGTCCTCAAGAATGGTGATAAGAACAATGGTGGAGCCCAGCTGGTGTGGCTCTGGTTGAGCATTGACCCATGTACCAAGAGGCCACTGGTTCGATTCCTGGTCAGGACACCTGCCCAGGTTGTGGGCCAATCCCCAGTGGGGGGGCATGCACAAGACGGCCAGTCGATGTTTCTCTCATCGATGTTTCTATCTCTCTCTCTCTCTCACTTCCTCTCTCTCTGAAATCAATAAAGAAAAAAAGAAGTTTTTTTAAAAAGAACAATGGTGGAAAGAAAGGCAAGGTCCAGATAACAAATCTTCAACAAATGAAGGGGAATGACCAGGAAGACAGTGGTTAACAGCAAGCAGGTGGGAGAGATGATGGCATATCCGGACAGCCTGCAATCTAAAGAAGCTGAAAGTGGAGTAGCTTAAGGAAGAATGAGCAAAGATCTAAACGTAATCTTAAGCAATAATGAGGACACCATCATCTCCAGACCCTGTTGTGCATGAAATATAAGAGGAAAAAAGAAAACAGTCCCAATGGAAAACTGGGAAAATCACTGTCCATGGCAGGTAGATGGGCAAAAGTGGGAAGCAAAAGAAGATGAATAAATGGGGGATTTTTCTGAGGACATGTCCTGAGTTCCAGAGGGCACATTAGAAGAATTTAGTGGAAGGAACATAGATTAAGTTAGACCAAAGGAAGCATAAGCAATATATAGTCCCCATGATGATATGTGACCTAGAACGTAAAGAGAGATCAAAAGCATGGTGGGGTTAGTCCATATGGCCTTTTAGAAGAGAGTTAGCCACCATCTCTGACTGTAGCCTCCTTTCTGAGATGAAGTAGTTTCAGTGATGGGGTGGGAAGTGTGGAAAGCAATATGGTCTTGCTAAAAAGTGTAAGACGTCTCTGTTAGCCTTATATGGAACACCAAAGCAATTCTAATTAAGTGCTGGATAAACAGTAATCTTTCTAGGGACTGTATGTATTTTTAAGGGAGGCTGTGTTGCTTACGTAGTTGGAGGGAAGGGATTTTGAGCTTCTGCTTCTTGCTTTCTCTGACCCACCTACATGCTTCCCATTTCACCAGAGCTAGTTGTTCAGACAGTTAATGTGGCAGAACAAAGATTACAGTTTTAACTCTCCCATCATCAAATCATCAAAATCAGATAAATACTAATATTCAATGCCATGTCTTTCTATATTACAGCTAGTAAATATGACAGAAAGATCAATGTGATTACTCATGATTTGAATGAAATCTCAGAATCTGAATTTTAGGTGGTAGTATTCTGTTTTTTAGATTTGGTGCCCACTGTGGCTAATAACAGAGATGGTAAATTTTATTGTAAGTGATACTTTCTAAGGGCTCTGCAGTCACTCACGTTAACTGGTTTATTTTTTAAGTCTTAGATAAATTTGGGAATACCCAACTCAGTTTGGAACAGGTCACCTTAACCTTGACCCAATTTTCCAACCAAAGAGAGGTCATCAGGAAAATCTGTGTTCTAATAACACAAAGTAGTTTTCAAATTGGAGAATTTTATAGGTTAGTGGTTTATACTAAATACATATAAACATCCCCATACTAATAAAATCTGCTTCATTAGCACTTTTTATGTGCTCAATCTGTGAGGTATGTACTTATATCCCAATTTCATAAGTAAGTAATTTCCCAGAGAGTGAATAATTTGCCCAAAGTCATTCAAGCAGTCAGTGATATTGCTAGGATTTAAATCTTAGTCTGTCTCAACCTGGGATTGTAGCTAGGAATGCTCAGAGAGAAAGAGTAACTTGCCTAAGGCCATAAAAGTATTCAGAGATACTTCTGGGATTTAAAGCCAGGTCTTGTCTCAACTTCTGCAACTCTTATTTTAGGGAACAGTTATTTGCTCTTTCCAAAATGACACTTCTATTCCCCTACCTGGACCATCTTTAAGCTTGGCCTATCCACCCCAAAATCGATTTCTAAACATCCTTTTTAAAAAAGTGTTGTCTCTTTTTTCAGAAGCACACAGATCTAGAGAAAATGCTTTTCCCAGGTAGGTGCCCATCAATGTGTCCAAGAGGCCACCCTATTTATTATTTTTCCCTTATACAAAGTACCACATTTGTGAACATATGTAGCAAAAATACACATTTCTTCCTTCTTGTTCTTTTTCCCAGTTGGAATCATTGTACCTCATTATTCTATACACTATCCCTCATCAGTTGTCCCTTTCTCTCTCCATTTCAATGAGGTATCAAACAAAATGGCTTCTAGGCCCCTTCCAATTCTGAAATCCCATGCTTCTGCCAATGCTATATTTCTGATTCCTGTCTTGAAACATGGTGTCTCAAGCAGTGGTAGCAGATATGTGTTTTTGTTACCCCTCCATGCTTACTCTCAGCAAAAATATGCCCAGTAATTCTTTTAAATGTCAGACTTGCATTTCTGTAGTTTCTTCTAGGATGTCAAGCAATAAGATTTGATCATGAAGAGAGAAGGTGGTCATGGTTTTCTGTATTTGCCATCCCAGATTCCAAATACTCAGCAGTAAGATGAAAAGATAACATTGATTGGCTTCTGAAGATAGGTATGTAGTTACCAAGTTGTTCATGTTCTTCATCTCGATGTCTACAGATTGACTGTTTTAGAAACTGTCTAGGCAATTTACCAGTTGAACTTTGTCTACTGTAGTTGCTGATTACTATGATTTTTCTCAAATCAGTATCTACTTACATCTAAAACAATTTTGGTATGGTTCTACAAGATAGATTAAATTATTCCCTGCCAATAGACCAAAATTATCATAGTTTTATAAGCAGTAGTACCTTATTCACTAATGATTTATGTCCCAAATATTCATGTACTCCAAGGAATAAGAGCTACACAAAGAAATCGAAGCCTGGGGATATTAATCCACTTGCTAGACTATTGGCTATGAAGTCACACTACAGTATACAAGTCCTTACTTTTATCCCACCCCCACCCCACCCTGCTTTTGTTTTGTTTTGTGGGGTTTTTTGCAGATTTTTAAGAGGTCTTGTTTTTTTTCCTGTTGGAATCGGACCTTTAGAAATCTTTAGCAGTGATAAACTGTAATTTTCCCTGCTCCCCATAAAAATAAAATGTTTAAAATTAAAATAATGCATGCGACAAAAGAAAGGAAAGAAGTGGGTGAAAGATCTATGGGGAACTAGAGTGAAGATAAAAGGAAGGCTAGCTTACTTTTGTGCTGATGAAAATTATTCTGAAGAAAGACCTAACTGAGAACACAGGAGAGAAGAAAATCTCTGGCCCTGGCCAGTTTGGCTCAGCGGTTAGAGCGTCGGCCTGCAGTCCGGAGAGACCCGGGTTCGGTTCCCGCTAAGGGCATGTACCTCGGTTGCAGTTTGTTCCCGGCCCTGGTTGGGTCGTGTGGGTGGCAGCCACTCGATGTGTCCCTTTCACGTCGATGTTTCTCTCTCCCTCCCACTCTATCTGAACAAAATATCAAAAAAAAAAATGTCCTTGGGTGAGGACTAAAAATGAAAATCTCTGGAGTGAGGTCCTTGAATAGGCAAGAGGGGACGCAAGTGGCAGTTGGTCTCAGCGAGGAGCATGGACCTTTATGTCTGCTGATAGAAAAGAAAACCATAGATGTGGCAACAAAAAAATGGTAGAAAGATGAGTACTATGGAAGGACCTTGCAGAAAGTCTCTTATGGCTGCTTCTATGTCTTTGATGAAACAGGAAGTGAGGTCTTCAACGAAGAGTGGAGATGATGGAGTAGGTAGTGCAGAACTTGGGAGAGAAGAGTTCTGAAACAGCCATCTACCAGGGAAGGTGATGAAAGACAAGGGGAATGGAGCATAGTGGCCAGCCAAGGCCAAGCGCCCATTCTTCCCTCTCTGCCCACCACAGCAATAAACACATAACAATAATCACCCAATTTAGAAATTGACTGTGTGTTCAATTTAACATTTGATAGTTATAGCTTCCCTAATTTTTTGTGTTTAGTGTCTCTTAAACAAGATAGCAAGCTCCTCGAGGTTATAGATCATGTCTTGTATTTCTGTGTGTCCCTACAATGTCTACCAAAGGAACTGGGCATACCACAGAGGTTCCATGAATACTCAGTGCATTCAATTAGAACCATAATGCTCCCTCTCTAGAATCAGAAACTGACCTGGTGTGGCCAAGCTCACAAACCTCATGCCAACACAGAAAGAATGTGGTTCAGGATGGTGGATTTAGAGCTTCTTAAATTTTTTGGCTTGAAGATTTTGCCTCGGGGGTTAGGAGGGCCCCAACTAAGATGCAAATATCCACACTGGAGAGTTGTCTGTTCCATGCAGACTTTAGATTACAAAGGTCACTTTAGAAGATTTCCTTGTGTTCATTATAATGTCTCCAGGCAGGCGCGCTGAAACTTTATCTGGCCCATGGCAAATAGAGTAAAACCTTTATCTGTAGCGTTTAGATGAGTTAACTGAGATTTATTCTTAATTCATTTGCTTGCTCATTTTTCAAGAACATTTGGATATTTGTTTCCTACCTCTATGTTTTCAATTTATAGAAACTACAATCTCAAATGAGGAGAACATTTGATTCAGCTTTTAGTACTAAGCTTCTCCTGCCAGCTAAAAGGTTTGAGGCAACCTGAGATTTCAGTGTTTTATTATTGCTCCTTTAAACCATGATTACTATAACAGGTCGTTTTTACATGTTCAACTTTTTAAAGAACTACTTTGAGATTCTTTTATTTCTAATCTTATTTCAACTTTAAATTATCTACCACCCCTCAAGTCTAGCCTATTCTCTACCTGCATTTAAAAAATTACTTTGGAAAAACATTACTTTGGATTCCTGTTGTATAGTTAAAGCCCATAGCGAGTGTCCACAGC